GCTACATAACCCCCAGGTGCCCCAACATACCTGTGTTATATGGCTGAATGGGAGCTACTGTAGGGTAGTGGCTAGATATTCGCCCGTGGACCGGAAGGTTATGGGTTCAAACCTGAATGAAGCCGGACTAAAAAAAATATTTACTTGGCTTCCAGGTTGACCCAGCTTTAAGAGGGTACCAGATGAAATTCTGGGAAGTAAAGGTGGCCGGCATAAAACTGAACATATCACCCACCAAGAGCCAGTTAGACCATAAAACACAAGTCTAGCCTTAAATGCCCAATATGCCTGAAGGCAGGGAAAAAGGTCCTTGACCTCATTTGTTACTTGTATATGGCCGAGCAGGATTTCTGGGATTTGCTCCTGTTGGGTTCTCATCCTAACAGTGTCTCTTTGAGTCACTGGGTGCTAATCCTTAAAAAGGAATTCAGAATATTCTCCCTTTCATTGTTGTGGGTTTTTGTCGATAAAGGCTGCTGCCGAAATGACTGAGTGATCCTGTGTCTGTGTGTGTGTGTGTATATTTTTCCTCCCCACTGATGTTAACTCTTCGAGTCCCACAGGGTTTAGCATCAGACAGCCAAGGACAGTCAAGAGAGACGTAAAATCGACGCATCTTGCGTTTACTGGACCTCTAGGTAGAAACCTATGAACCTATGATGTGTTCCTTGTGACTCAAAGAGTCAAGCTTCTTAGTGACAGCTCAGTAGATTACTTGTGAGAAGGCAATTGTAGAGGGAAAACAGTTTTAAATTAGAAAAACAAAAAACAAATTCTAACATTCACTGAAGACAGAAGGTTACATTAGGTAGTACTTAATGTAGCCACAAGGTCTTTCTGTTTTCCCACAGGGTCTGTCTGTCTGTCTGTCTGTCTGTTTAACCCCTCTGGGTTGCTACTTGATCTGACTACTCAGATGATTTCAAAAGTTGCATTCTGGACGAAAACCCAAATGAGGCAATTTTCAGATACCCTGTTTATTCTCTTTAGAAGTTACAATTAAGGCACCCGTGATAGCTATAACAAGTCGTGGGTAAGGGGTGGATCTGAATATGGTCCTCAATAATAAACATCTTATACAGAGCACTTTCAGTCAGATCTCAAGCAGATTTGATTGGCTACTATATATCAGCAGTCAGGACTAAATGTTGGGCAGCATAACTAAACCTGACACACAAGAAACCTGACACACAAGAAACCTGACACACAAGAAACCTGACACACAATAAACCTGACACACAATAAACCTGACACACAAGAAACCTGACACACAAGAAACCTGACACACAAGAAACCTGACACACAAGAAACCTGACACACAAGAAACCTGACACACAAGAAACCTGACACACAACAAACCTGACACACAAGAAACCTGACACACAACAAACCTGACACACAAGAAACCTGACACACAATAAACCTGACACACAAGAAACCTGACACACAAGAAACCTGACACACAAGAAACCCTGACACACAAGAAACCTGAAAAACTGACACACAAGAAACCTGACACACAAGAAACCTGACACACAAGAAACCTGACACACAACAAACCTGACACACAAGAAACCTGACACACAACAAACCTGACACACAAGAAACCTGACACACAATAAACCTGACACACAAGAAACCTGACACACAAGAAACCTGACACACAAGAAACCTGACACACAAGAAACCTGACACACAAGAAACCTGACACACAATAAACCTGACACACAATAAACCTGACACACAATAAACCTGACACATAAGAAACCTGACACACAATAAACATTTCATAGGTACTTCAGTCAAATTTTTAAAATGCCCTCTACACCAATAAAACCAGCACAGTTAGATAGCTGTAAACAATCTCTTTCCAACGGTACCTCATTTAGGCTTGTATGTCATTTCTGAGCTGAGATATGTAGGTTTTTGTGGAGATGAGATGTAAGAAACAGCCGCTAAAACTTGTGACCCAGAAACAAGAAGTTTTTTTCTGCGCAGTCTGCGCAACCTACTGCGCAGTTCTGTATCGGCTTTGTTGACATTGGACTGTCATTGGACAAGATGGCAGGCAGTGAGACTCAGCTCACTCAGCCGCGTGCGATTGCCTAAAAAATGTCACTGTAAATCTAAACAGCCAAAGACGGAAAAAAATTTATATATGCAAATGTAAAATTGGACGGAGAATTCAATTGTAACTAGCAGTACCAGATCTGGTAATGTTTAAGCCTAAACCAACCTCGAATTTACCGCTATTTTCAATCAAACTGATAGACTAACAGAAAAACAGAGAATGTCCGGCTGTCGTAGACATGCGCTGTTAATCGAGTTCCTTCCCGCCGTTTTCAGCTATTTAGAGTGGGTGAAAATCACACCAATGGCAAAATTTCATGAGAGATTAGGACCCATCCCGAAACCCCAGCCGACATTTCTGAAACAAGTTTCAAACGGTTTCTATGGTAACGGAAATTGTCGAAAAGATCGCTAATTTCCGAAACTGTAGTAGCTACATTTCACCCGCAAAACATACAAAATGTGATGAGAACTGTTACCTGCAATCTGCCGAGGCGAACTCGGATCCCGTCCACGTCCCCTCTCTTGAACTGTGACAGAAGCTCCAGGAACTCCACAAAGTTATGCCCCCTAATGGCATTCTCCCTGATCACCATGCACCAAGTCGGCCGCCCCGACAACTTCCAGCACTTGGCCAGGAAAGCAAGGTCATTCTACATTCAGAAACAGAAAGAAAAAGGACAAAATGTGCAATTTATAGAATATTTATCATTTAGAGGGAAAACAATTTTTTTTGTATTTAATTAGTTTCCCTTCCAGGACTGCAGAGTGCAAGACTAACATCTCATGGACGAGAATCAAACAGGAGATAATCACACACCCTAGCAGATTTGAATCTTCTCCTTCACTGCCTCTTTTTTTCCTGAACAGAACAGACCAAGTCACAGTTTTTCGCATACATACTGGACACTGCAGACTGAATAAACACTCATATAAATTAGGTATGAGCCAAACAGCTCTCTGCCAGTGTCTTCATGCTGAACAGACTCCAGAACATGTCATGCAAGACTGTCCTCTCCTGGCAGAGCTGAGGAGAAACATATGGCAACACCCAGTAGAACTGTCAACTAAGCTTTGGAGAAAACTAACAGACCTTGAAAAGACATCCCAGTTTATGGCCCACAGTGGATTATGCGCATGACCAGAGATCGCTGAAGAAGAAGAAGAAGACTGCTTTTTTTAGGGCTTTGGGTGTCGAGGGAGATATAAGGTTCTGCTGCTTGCTCTTCTGTCCGTCTTGACCACAGACACATAGTGGTGCTGTAGAGTTTGTCTGATGTTATCTTTCTTTTGTGTTCTTGGTCTACCTCATGTTCTACATCCTTCTCCTTTTTCATTGCATGCTTCGTACGGTATGACATCACAAGGAATTCTAAGTAGGCAAACTATTTGTTTAAGTGGGCAAACTATTTGTTCTGTCTTTGCATGTAATTTACAATTGCTTTTGTGCCAAAATTTTGCTCTTATGACCTCATTTATGACCGTTTCTCTTCTGGTCACCCTTGCAGCTGTTCAACAGTTCTGTTGGGGCACCTAATAGTTATGAAGTAAACTACAGTCCACTGGTTATGATCATACGTCTACGTGGTTATAATACAACTGATCAAGAACGCACTATGCACACAAACAAATCAATTCAACTGTTTCTCTCAAGAGCTGTCAGAATACCTTCTTTTCGTTCTCTCTGCCAATGGTTGTCAGATGAGAAGGCCAGGGGTCTCTATGAAGTTTGTTGTGTGACGCATGTTGTCTATGGTTCCATACAGCTTGGTTTCCCCTCTATGAATTTTGTGGTGTGACGCATGTTGTCTATGGTTCCATACAGCTTGGTTTCCCCTCTATGAATTTTGTGGTGTGACGCATGTTGTCTATGGTTCCATACAGCTTGGTTTCCCCTCTATGAATTTTGTGGTGTGACGCATGTTGTCTATGGTTCCATACAGCTTGGTTTCCCCTCTATGAATTTTGTGGTGTGACGCATGTTGTCTATGGTTCCATACAGCTTGGTTTCCACTCTATGAAGTTTGTGGTGTGACGCATGTTGTCAACAGTTCCATACAGCTTGGTTTCCACTCTATGAAGTTTGTGGTGTGACGCATGTTGTCTATGGTTCCATACAGCTTGGTTTCCACTCTATAAAGTTTGTGGTGTGACGCATGTTGTCAACGGTTCCATACAGCTTGGTTTCCACTCTATAAAGTTTGTGGTGTGACGCATGTTGTCTATGGTTCCATACAGCTTGGTTTCCACTCTATAAAGTTTGTGGTGTGACGCATGTTGTCTATGGTTCCATACAGCTTGGTTTCCACTCTATAAAGTTTGTGGTGTGACGCATGTTGTCTATGGTTCCATACAGCTTGGTTTCCACTCTATAAAGTTTGTGGTGTGACGCATGTTGTCTATGGTTCCATACAGCTTGGTTTCCACTCTATAAAGTTTGTGGTGTGACGCATGTTGTCTATGGTTCCATACAGCTTGGTTTCCACTCTATAAAGTTTGTGGTGTGACGCATGTTGTCAACAGTTCCATACAGCTTGGTTTCCACTCTATAAAGTTTGTGGTGTGACGCATGTTGTCTATGGTTCCATACAGCTTGGTTTCCACTCTATAAAGTTTGTGGTGTGACTCATGTTGTCCACGGTTCCATACGGCTTGGTTTCCGCTGTAATGCCAAACCAAGCACATGTGGGATCTTTCTATTGCATTTAACTTGATTGTCTGCAACACATATTTCATATTCTGGCGCACCTGCCACATGGGCAAAGTTCCGAGTCCCTTTCTAGTGGCAGAGGCTATTGCTTTCAGTTGACAATCTGAATATAATCGTCAAAAAAGGATAACAATGTTTTAGTTCTGTCATAAAATAGTTTTAAAAATTCTCAAACTACTGTTATAATTTGGTTTGAAACACAACCCAACTAAAAGCAGACCTTGCAGTCATCCATGACGAGCGAGATGTCCTGGGCCAGGTAAAAGTCACTCAACTCAAACAGCAGAGGATAACAGAGAACCGTCTTGCCACAGGCTCGAAATATCTGGGGACAAAACGACAAAGATAACAGTCATGTTTGTAATCCCTACAGACATGATGACAATGGTGAAAGAGATGAAGAGGAAGATAAAGACACAGTGGTGAAAGAGATGGAGAGGAAGAGAAAGAGATAGTGTGGTGAGAGAGATAGGAAGAAGGAGAGACAGTGTTGTGAGAGAGATGGAGAGGAAGAAGGAGAGACTGTGGTAAAAGAGATGGATAGGAAAACAGAGAGAGAGACAGTGTGGTGAGAGAGATGGAGAGTAGGAGTCAGAGAGAGGAGAGAGAGATAAAGGAGGTGAGAAAGGCAGAGACCCAGAGAGAGAAGGGAGACAGGGGGGGGGGGGGAGAGAAGATCGAGGGATGGCAGAGACAGAGAGAAAAAAAGAGGAACAGAGAGAGACAGAGGGAGTGCTAGTTCAGTTCTCAGCAGTGTTGGGGATTATTTTTACTCTAATCAGAACAGCTCATGTGTACACAAACATTTGCTCAGTTCTTCTGTAACCGAGTATTAGACATTAAAAAAATTATCACTGTATGTTATAAACTCTGTATTCCATTTAAATTATTGAAACAATTACTGACAAGTTGTGTAAGGTCTGTTCTTTTTAACAGATACACACTGTGGATGAAACAATTCAATGATGAAGAAAAAGGGGGCTGCAGAGATGTGGTTTTTAAGAAAGATGTTGAGAACATTGATCAGCTGTAGGAGAAGGGTCAGTTTCTGTTCTCAAGAACTGGACACGCCCACCATGTTATCTGTATGCAGAACATGGAACATTATACTTTAGAACTAGCATAAGATGCTGTTCTGTCGTTAAGCATAGAGACATTATTCTTACGTTAACTCTTTCTGCCCCAAACAGGGCACCATGCGTACAGGATATTACTTACGTAAACCAGTCAATATCTTTTGTATATTTGTACACCCTAAGTTGGGTCAGATGGACGATTATGAGCAGAATAGGCCAGGCAAAGGCCGCATTTCAGAAGATAAAAAGTACCTTATGTAATAAATCACTCTCATTAAACATCAGAAAATGAGTACTGAAATGTTACATCAAGCCTGCTCTGTTATAAAGTTGTTAACTGAAGTCGTCCCCCTGTGGAACACAATTTTTCGTTATTTTGAAGCCCCACCCCGGCTTTTGCCAAGGCTGCAATAAAGCCACAGGTGATCCTCCTCCTCACAGTGGCACTTTGTGTCACCAGGTGTTTACTGATCTATGTGATGTCCTGATGGGGTAAACTTGACTGACTGACTGACTCTTGTATGGCAGTGAACCTTGGAATGTAAGCAAATAAATTAAGAAGAGTTTGGAGGCAACTGAGATGTGGTTCTTGAGAAGAATGTTGAGAAAACCTTAGACTGCCAGAATATCTCAGAATGATTGTCTGGAAATGGCTAATGAAAGTACAACATTAAATGCAACAATGAGAAGGAGACAAAGTTCTTTGGCTATGTGACGAGAAAATGAGCACTGGAAAATATCGTGACAGCTGGAAAGATCATTGCTAGCAGAGGCAGACCAAGAGAAATGATGGTGGATGGTTTAAGACAGTGGCATGGAGGAATATCATCAGGGGAATTGATCCAGAACACCAAAGGCAATCTGTGGAGATGCATGAACGCCTACGCTAGCTGGCAAGGCACTTGATGATGATGATGAAGTTCGGTCAAGCAAACTAGCTCAATCAAACAACACAAGTCAAACACAATGTACAGTGTATATGGACCCCCATTGATGCAGCACACCATGCTTTTGTTGTCATTATTATGGCTTCAATCAGACATTAGCTATGATCTTCTGAAAAGTTCATGACAATCTAGCATCTGGTAATAATTTGCCAGATGTAAAGTTCAATAACCATCTTCTACATCCTGTTGTTTCTTTGTTTTGAGATGTCATGGACAATTCTGTAACCAACCTCGCCCCAAATGTGATGCAATTTTTTGTTGTTATTTTAAAGCCCCCACCCCGACTGTAGCCAGGGGCCCTAATTTAACCTGTGGGTTGAATGGGGTTTCTGGAACTTGTACCCCGGGGATTCTCATCCACATGCTGGCACTTTATTGTGTGGTCCTGGTGGGGTTGAACATAACACACTCAACTCTGCAACACAACTTCAAGTACTTTGCTACACCCGCAGAGCTGAGATTCAATCAGTGCCGTTACTCACTTTAGAAGTACTTAAGACACCAAAAGGTCGACTGGGCCTGCCCGTGATGCCCAACTTCTTGTTGATGCCCAGGTACTCATAAGCCTTCGTGAGCTCCTTGGGAGACCAAATCTGGATGGGCTCGATCTGGTGCGGGGTCTGGGTCTCAATCCCATAGGTGGCCAGCAGCTGCTGCAGCCTGGCTGTCTCAGATATCAGAACTATCTGAATGACCAGGTCTGGCGCCGAGCCCTAAGGTAGACCAATAAAATACACTGTTTCATTCAACAATTGATCTGAGTCCTTATTCATAAATAAACCTGTCACTACCCCTACCGGAGATCTCTAATATAGGTCTACAAAGGAAAGTGAGTATGTTCTAAGTTACCTTTCTTAATCAATGTCCTCTGTAGCAGGTTTTCATTTTTGTTTTGGCCTGAGCCCTAATTCAGATAAATAAAGCACCCCAGTTTAGATAAATAAAATGCACTGTCTCTGGAGCTCTCCAAGTTGAAGTGGTCTAGCCAACTACCACATGTTCTGAAGGTTGAGGGTTTGTTCCATAGCTGTGTTGTGAACAATTTTTATGGAGATCCTGAGGATCATTGCTGGAGCTACAGAGTTCATGCATTATGTGACACTCTCTGCAGGCGGCTAACCATTCTGAGAGACTCAGCCATACGGGATAAAACCCAGTGCAGTGAAGTCGATCTTCTCAACTTTAACTTAAAGTAAACTGATTCATTCAACAATTAACCTGCTTTTTTTTCCCAATTAGTCCATTTATTCATTAGTTAACATACTGACTAGATAATTAATCAAACAAACATACCCACTAATTTACTCACTTAACAACTATTCACCTCACTAGCTAAACCACTAACAAACAAATTAACCTATTGCTCAAAGTGCTAACTAGCTAATTAACACAATGCTTTAGCTGGTAATAATTAACTCACGATTAATTAGCTAACAAATTTACTTACTTCTAAAAATGCTAACAACTATTTTACTCAAATTTGGAGCTGTTAACAAATTAATTAACACATTACTCAGCTTGCTAACAAACTTAATAACTCATTGTAAAACTGCTAACAAACTAACTAATTGGGTTGCAAAAGCTGCTAACAAGAAAAACTTGCTTACAAAATAATAAATGTGTTAGTGAAATAATTCACCAACTAATAAACCCACTATCAAACTACATAGTCAAATAATCATATTTATCAGATTAGATTTTAGTAATGTAACAAGTGTTTAAAAAAAAAAGGTGATTGAACATTAACGAGCCTAAAAGAGGCAAATATTAAAAACACGCTAAAAAGTTCTGTTGATTTGAAATAAAACAAACAATAGTAAGAAATTCTATTTAACTATACTATGAAACAAACTTGTATAAATGAACTAATAGGAATATTCTTTCTAGAGGTTGATGAAAGTATGAGAAATGTTTTTCTTACTGCTAACATATTAAATATTGTTTGAAGATCTTCAGTAAAGAAAATGAATAAATCTTTATAATTTGAAACTCTTCATTTATAACTCAGCTGAAATAAACATAAGCTGCTATATTTTAAAAGACATTTTGAAGTGTATATGTGCATGTATATACATATGTTATATATATATATATATATATATATATATATATATATATATATATATATATATATATATTGTGTATACTATATGATTTAGGATCTCGAGAAAGTGTTGTTCACTCCAGACCAAATGGTTAGGGAAACCAGAACAGTAACAGTAATGTATGGACGTTAGGCAGCGGCTCTGTCCGAAACAGAGGCAAATTTTTTGCTTCTGCTGGACGGTGGCCTATGCATTTTTGCTCCATTTGTAGACATGATATAGTTTCGTCACCCAGCTTCTGAGTTGAATGCATGGCGTGACCCTGTGAGCTGCAGATTGCATTTGGAATGTTTTTTCGACTGCGACCAACGTGTTGGTGTGAATTGTAGATTCAGAAAATGGCGCGATGCCTGTCGTGCAGTGTTGTGGTGCCCGTATGTGATTAAAATTGATTGCGTGGGCAAACTGCTGATCTGTTGGCGACTTCTGCTACCATCAATGATGAACTGCAATTCTAATACTGTGATAAACATTCTGTGTGTTTTTCATTGGCACAGGAGCGGAGCAAAGATGGGGTGACCCGTTTGCTATGAAGCTGAAACTAAGACTACCAGACTACCAGACTACCAGATCTAGAACCGCTCCGACTGCTGATGTTGTTGATGAATCTGAGCCAGAAAGGGACAGTAGTTCTGACATTATAATTTATATGCAAGTGCAGAAACTATTTTTGACAATGAGGAATGGGATGAAATTGAACAAAAAGTTTCATATGATCATCCCTGTTTCAATCAGCCTTTTCTGGAGTTCAGTAGCTCTGAAATTTGACGTCATAAAAAATGGTCACAAAAATCCAAAATATTCAGATTAACTGTTTCCAAAAAAGACTAGCTGATGCACAACTGAATAGAGAAGGCATGTGAATTCCTTGAAATAGACACCAGTGTTGCTGACCAAATAAAAAAGTCAACTATCATGCGTCACAAAATCTTCATGCTTGACTTAAATCTTTGAATTTTAGAGTCATTTTCATATTTTATTGCTGTAATACTGATTTTCAGATAGTCTAGATGTTTTCTGTATTCATTTCACTTTAATTTGATATATTAGATGTCACTATACATTATATTTCTCTATACAGCTAATTTGATATATTAGATGTCACTATACATTATATTTCTCTATACAGCTAATTGGATATATTAGATGTCACTATACATTATATTTCTCTATACAGCTAATTGGATATATTAGAAGTCACTATACATTATATTTCTCTATACAGCTAATTTGATATATTAGATGTCACTATACATTATATTTCTCTATACAGCTAATTGGATATATTAGAAGTCACTATACATTATATTTCTCTATACAGCTAATTGGATATATTAGATGTCACTATACATTATATTTCTCTATACAGCTAATTGGATATATTAGATGTCACTATACATTATATTTCTCTATACAGCTAATTGGATATATTAGAAGTCACTATACATTATATTTCTCTATACAGCTAATTTGATATATTAGATGTCACTATACATTATATTTCTCTATACAGCTAATTGGATATATTAGAAGTCACTATACATTATATTTCTCTATACAGCTAATTTGATATATTAGATGTCACTATACATTATATTTCTCTATACAGCTAATTTGATATATTAGATGTCACTATACATTATATTTCTCTATACAGCTAATTGGATATATTAGAAGTCACTATACATTATATTTCTCTATACAGCTAATTGGATATATTAGATGTCACTATACATTATATTTCTCTATACAGCTAATTGGATATATTAGATGTCACTATACATTATATTTCTCTATACAGCTAATTGGATATATTAGAAGTCACTATACATTATATTTCTCTATACAGCTAATTTGATATATTAGATGTCACTATACATTATATTTCTCTATACAGCTAATTGGATATATTAGAAGTCACTATACATTATATTTCTCTATACAGCTAATTTGATATATTAGATGTCACTATACATTATATTTCTCTATACAGCTAATTTGATATATTAGATGTCACTATACATTATATTTCTCTATACAGCTAATTTGATATATTATATGTCACTATACATTATATTTCTCTATACAGCTAATTTGATATATTATTTGTCACTATACATTATATTTCTCTATACAGCTAATTTGATATATTAGATGTCACTATACATTATATTTCTCTATACAGCTAATTTGATATATTATTTGTCACTATACATTATATTTCTCTATACAGCTAATTTGATATATTAGATGTCACTATACATTATATTTCTCTATACAGCTAATTTGATATATTATATGTCACTATACATTATATTTCTCTATACAGCTAATTTGATATATTATTTGTCACTATACATTATATTTCTCTATACAGCTAATTTGATATATTATTGTCACTATACATTATATTTCTCTATACAGCTAATTTGATATATTATTTGTCATATACATTATCACTATACATTATATTTCTCTATACATTATATTTCTCTATACAGCTAATTTGATATATTAGATGTCACTATACATTATATTTCTCTATACAGCTAATTGGATATATTATATGTCACTATACATTATATTTCTCTATACAGCTAATTTGATATATTATATGTCACTATACATTATATTTCTCTATACAGCTAATTTTATATATTAGATGTCACTATACATTATATTTCTCTATACAGCTAATTTGATATATTAGATGTCACTATACATTATATTTCTCTATACAGCTAATTTGATATATTATTTGTCACTATACATTATATTTCTCTATACAGCTAATTGGATATATTAGATGTCACTATACATTATATTTCTCTATACAGCTAATTTGATTATATTATTTTCTTCACACTATACATTATATTTCTCTATACAGCTAATTTGATATATTAGATGTCACTATACATTATATTTCTCTATACAGCTAATTTGTTATATTAGATGTCACTATACATTATATTTCTCTATACAGCTAATTGGATATATTAGATGTCACTATACATTATATTTCTCTATACAGCTAATTTGATATATTATTTGTCACTATACATTATATTTCTCTATACAGCTAATTGGATATATTAGATGTCACTATACATTATATTTCTCTATACAGCTAATTGGATATATTAGATGTCACTATACATTGTATTTCTCTATACAGCTAATTGGATATATTAGATGTCACTATACATTATATTTCTCTATACAGCTAATTTGATATATTATTTGTCACTATTCATTATATTTCTCTATACAGCTAATTGGATATATTAGATGTCACTATACATTGTATTTCTCTATACAGCTAATTGGATATATTAGATGTCACTATACATTATATTTCTCTATACAGCTAATTGGATATATTAGAAGTCACTATACATTATATTTCTCTATACAGCTAATTTGATATATTAGATGTCACTATACATTATATTTCTCTATACAGCTAATTTGATATATTAGATGTCACTATACATTATATTTCTCTATACAGCTAATTTGATATATTAGATGTCACTATACATTATATTTCTCTATACAGCTAATTGGATATATTAGATGTCACTATACATTATATTTCTCTATAC